AAGAACTCCATTACCTATAATGAGAATGCCTTCCTGCTCTCTTGCAAGTCAATGCTTTATATATTACGCAAGCCACCTAAGGTAATTTGGAAAATCTTTCTTATTTGTAAGCTTTCACAATGTAGCTTGGAATCTGTTATATTCTCCAGATAGAAGTTTTGAGATCCGAGCTATAATTTGGGTTTAAACTTTTCAATCTAATATAGAGGATCAGGGATTCGCTGCTTGAGCTCAAAGGTGAAGATAAAAAATATGAAAGTGTAAAATTGAATCCATTGATAAAGTAGCATGCTAGAACTAGCTGCAAGTTTCTTCACGTTCACAAGTTATATTTCTCTCGAACATTTTATTCCTTCTGACTGAACTACTGCCAATTAGTTTCCAGTTATTGGGATATTTGTCAAACTTTGATACTGTGATACTCACTTGCAAATGCTGAATTTATGACTTTTATGTTCAACTTAGTTGTGCTGATTGGACAAAAACATGGCTGGGAGTTTTCATGCATTGATAACAATTCTGGTCTTCCATATCTTTTATATGTTCATATGACTTACTTTATGTCTCGATGTTAGATCACACACCCATCTCATTTAGTTAGGCAAATAATTAACACATGATTGAACTCAGATAAAAGAGGAAAATTCATTGAGCTTGCTCAAGAGTGCTTCTTGATTAATTTGCAGAATTTTGAGGAGCTCGTGGAGGAGCATTTTACTCGTAGATCACATCATATTCTCCAAGCTTGCAAGGTTTACATGGATGGCGCTCCACTAGGCTCTTCGTTGGAACCTGAAAAAGAAACATGTATTAGTGGTCAAGCCAACAGCTCCACTGGTTTTAAGATCATGCTCTCTAAACTCTTCCCAAAGCTCATATCAGGTTTTGCCGAAAGGGGATTTGATTGTAGCGCCTTTCTTAAATAAGTTAACCGTGTTCTTTTTACAAGGGCTTCAAACTTAATCTACAATATTATTGGTTTGTATTTAAGTTTCATGTGCCTATAATTTGTGCAACGTGTGTTGCGTAGAACAGATCATGGAGACTTCTGGTATGTATGTAAATAAATGTGGTATGTGTGCTTGTATGCAGATCATGGAGACTTCTGGTATGTATGTAAATAAATGTGGTATGTGTGCTTGTATCCAACTCGAAAACTTTAGTATCATGTATATATCTGAGTATTGTATCAACAAATGATGGCTTGAACTTATAATAATAGGTAATGTGTCTCATGTAACTTTCTTAGGGATATCTTGTTTATAAGGATTGGTTCGTAGGATTTGCGCCTATGTGATGATTTCAGGCACATTTTTTTATGTATAATAATATTTCAGGCACATCTTCTGTTTGGGTTCCCTTAATATTTTGCATGTTATATAGATAACCTTGCATTTGAGTTTTGCAGGTATACCCATTTATTAATCAACGTTTAATGAAATTTTATTACTGATGAATGTTAACGAAGTAAGTAAGGGTGAGGTTAGTTTGATCTTCCATAATTTTGGGACGAAGATTCTATTGCTATTGCTCTTGTTGTTTACTAGGTAAAATCAAAACCCATTCTTCAATTCTATGCGATTTTATCATGTTTAAATTTATCTGTTTACTTATCTAGGTCACTTTCATTGTTTAATTAACCAAAACAAACATTTCCTGATGAAAAATGAGATTGAGATGGAAAATTGACGTGCAATATTATCTGTTTGTGTTGCGTAGTTAAATGAACTGTATTTCAGCTCCTTACAACTCATCGTTCGTTAATTTTACTGGGATGCAATCAACAGAAGGGCACGTTGCAAAGTGGCCCAAAGCTCAAAAACAAAGAGATGATGTAGAGAAAATATACAGAAACAAAGGTTGGAATATCTTGATGGCCCAAAGCTCAAAAACAAAGAGATGATGTAGAGAAAATATACAGAAACAAAGGTTGGAATATCTTGCTTCTAGGATCATAATAATATGTGTAATGATGTAGAGAAAATATACAGAAACAAAGGTTGGAATATCTTGCTTCTAGGATCATAATAATATGTGTACAAATGCTAAAATCTCTTTAATGTTTCATACCCCAATTAAGAGGTGCATGGTATTTAATTCCTGTAAAGGCATGGTCATTCATGTAAAATAAAAATTATATTGCGAATATACAAGGGAACAATAAGAAAATTCCATGATTTAATAACTTTCTCTTGTGGACATCCCTCCTCCTAATTCAGATATTCAGTGGCCAATTCCCTTAGCCCATAGTGAATATAGCTGACCATAGCAGGAAGCAAACACAGGCTGTATCCATGAGCAAGGAAGGTCGCGGGATAGAGCACTCTGATTGAGACGCAGTCCTTTGGCCGAGAGGGTATGATGCAACCTTTCAGCCAGATTGACATAAATACTGCAGACAAAGCCCGAGCAGAAATGAGTTCTTTCGCTTGAGGGTGAAAACTCTCAAAGATATCCCCAGCATGAAACCCACACTCATCCGAGTCAGCAGTGTGATGAACTGGACCGTGGTTAAAGACTTTGTTCTCTACTTCAAGCCAAGTAGCCACAGAGATTGGTTCAACTTTTCCTTTTTACTTCCATTCCGGAAAAGGTACTTCGCCAGTGCACGCGGGCAACATAGGGGCCATGTGTAGCATGCGCAACCGTCTAATGACAAATGAAAAAGTGGCAAACCAGCTCCCGGAAACACCTCACCAACATGAGCGAAGTGCTCCATGGTCCTTAACTCTGCATTTCTGGGGAAGAACTCTTCATATGGTCGTTCTCCCATTGGAAACCGAGACATCTCAAACATCTCGTGCAAAGCTATACCAATTTCCCCTGCAGAGTGAAAAACATGTTATTGGCAAAGCTCTAGAATGCTATATAACACAAGCGCACAAATATCGATGCCAAAATTGGAAGCTCGTATTGCAGAGTAGAGTCCCAAGTTCGATAGTTTCTCCCCCAAAATGTCGAGAGCAAAGTTGATCACACGTGCCCAACACTTGGTACCGGTTGACTTGATCCAGCCAGGGAACAGGGCACCCTTCTCTGAATACTATTCGTCAATTTGGGCAAATTGATTACAACCTCATTGGCATGAGCTTCCTCTTTAACAGAACCAGGGCGGAGACCAACAACGCTGAGTCCAAAGCGGCTCTCTTTGTAAAATCAGCCCTTGGATTTCAAGCCACCCACCATCATGTTGTCCTATGCCTAAAGTGGTTACGACGGCTAGGGCTAATAGTGTATTTTCTGGAGGAACTGCACAAAAAGTGGAAGAAGACGGGTTAGAAGACAAATAAAAAAAAAGAAAGAAAAAGAAAATCAATCAACTAAGTCTTAAAGCCCACCATCGAAACTCACCAAGTTTTCCAAGAAGAAGTTCGCTCACTAGCAAAGGTCAATCTCAATATTAGCTCCACTAAAGTTGGCTAAGTATTGGTGAGGTACGTGAAGTTCGTATAATAACTATTGAACTTCAACCCCACAACGAAATTTGCTCAAGAGTCCAAATGGACTGAGTTAGCGAACCTCGCTCAGGCAAAGCTCGCTCAAGAAGCCCAAATGGACCAATTAGTGAACTTCACCCAAAAAGCGAAGTTCACCATATAGAACGCCATTGATGGCGATCAACAAGACTTCGCTGTCACCGGCAAAACCCATGAATAAGATCAAGTATGGTCCTGAAAGCCTCCCATTGATGATGAAGTAGATTTAAGTGCCCTAAGGTACTATTCAAGCCTGAAAGGTGCTGTTTTGGCAAATCAAAGAACTTCACCGTTGATGGGTTTCGAGTTTACCTGAGGCCATCTCTAACTTCGGCATTGCCATGGTGGCATTTGATCGAGAGATTCGCCGGTGAAGTTCTTTCCCTTGGTAAGTTGACGTCAGTCGGCCATTGAACCAAAGAGTTAAGGAGTGTGGAGGTTCAAAAATTCTAAAGGGGTCTAGGGTTTTGAAAACAGAGTGAAGAAGAAGAAAAGAAGATAAACAGTCTATTTATAGGCTTTCATCGAACTTCACCCAGATATCTTTACCTTGAACTTCTCCCGAGAATCTTGCTTTGAACTTCGTGCAAACTTCGCACAAAAATCAAAGATTTAAAATTTTAAAATTTTTTAGTGAGTCTCACCAATCAGTCTAGCAAACTTCACTCAAAGATTGAATGAGCTTCGCTCAACAAACTTAGTGCACTTCACTTAAGTCCAAATACTGAATGAGCCTCGCTTGACCGACTCAGCGAACTTCGCCAAAGTATGAGAATTGGGCAAACTTCACCCGAAGGCTTTAAAGTCTTATCCAATGATTCTCACCAACATATGAAGCCTAGACTCCGCCACATATACAAGGAGTACATCGTGCACAGATCAAACAAATGGAAAAAAAAAAACCCATAATTCTTTTATTGATCATAAAGCCACATACAAGCAAAATTCAGACTCTTGAAACTACAAAGATAGTGAGCATTCATTCCTCCAACCTCAACAACTATCAAATAGCAAGGAGGAGAAACGAAAGGCAAGAATAGCTCCAATTAAGGAACATAAAGGAGCTACACCAAGCTTCTAAGATTGTGGAACAAAGCTTAGCCGCACAGGAAAAATTTGATGTTGAGGTCGAGAAAAATACATGACGTCTAATTACATTCTAGGTCCACATTTGCGAGACTTAATCACGTTCAGAGTCTTCACTTGTGGAGCTTTATGAGTCCTTTTTGAAGCGCCATCTCAGCCTCAGAACAGTCCTGCGTAGAACATGAAACTTGAAGCTCTATGTGTCCCTGTCGTGGACTACATAACATGCTTCTGACTTGTTCTTGAGAGTTTGACCGAGCGTAGCCTTTTTGGCCTAAAGCAGATCGACCAACAGGTGGATAACAAGGACTTCTTCCATAAAATCGCCCTTCACTTATGCTAACTCCTATTGGAGTCAAATAATCTCTGCCCTTTTATCAAATAACTTCTCTGGTTGTGTTGGAGAAGACTTAGACATGGAGAAGTTGAGATGAGAAAAGATGAGGATGAAAGGAGTTATTTATAAGTTCTCTAAACACGACTTCCCATAACAAACAACATGTTTTATGGGAAGTGATTGGACCAAACATAGAGGCCAAAAAATAGCCTAAATCTTAGAGTACTTTGTGAACCATACTGAATATTTGACTCTAAAGAGAAATCCTAACCATAAATCAAGGCTCATATCTAGAGACAATAGCCTTGGTGAACCTCATCAATCGGTGAACTTCGCTCAAATGACCAAAATTGAGCGAACTTCACCCAAAATTCAGGAAAAAGCGAATGTCTCCATTCCAAGAGGTCCGCTCCAATCTAGGGCCAAATGAATTTTGCTCCAAATATAGAATTAGGCAAATACGAAAGCTGCCAAGCGTCCAATCAAGACAAATTTATGACTAAGGAAGCTATGTTTGACATTACACCTCTAGCGACTAAAGTATGCAAACTTCAGCTCGAGTAAGACGACTCAAGCTATGTTTAAAAGTACACCTCTAGTTATTGCCTAAAGTATTTCGATCCCTTTGTTACAAGTCAAAAGTAGGATCTCGAAAACTTTGAGGGATCTTGTCGATGGTCAAAATATATGCTCAAGCTTAGCCCAAGAAGAAGAAATGAATATACATGGGCTAAACACTTCGTATGGGCCCAAGCGTAGGGCCATATTAAAACCCACCCAAACAATAGCGAAGTTCCCCTAAGATTCAAGTGAACTTCACCCCTCAAGACCTAAGCAGACCATGTCATCTACGTCTCAAAGAACGTGGGTTGTCCGCGTTCTAGTGAAGTTCGCTAGAAGAAACTTTGCCCAAAGCCACCTAGAGAGCTTCATCCAGAATTGTTTAGCAAGCTTCGCCAAGAACTGCTAAGCGAGCTTTGCCTTTTGACTGTTATAGGAGAACTTCGCCATTGACTATTTCAAGAGCTATTTTTTTAGAAAACGATTATTTCCATTAACTCCTATGTTAATGGCCCACTTAATCCATATTTAAGGGTCACTAACACTCTCTTAGCCTATAAGAAGGGAGATTATTCATTTTGGCACAACCTAGAATCGACATTGACTGAGATTTAGACTTGGTATCTACAGCTGACTTTCAGTCAACTTCTTTGGATTTTAGCATCTTCGACAACCTCTAATCAGCAAGAGACTCATTGCATTGGTCAGATCATCAACAAAGCATAAGATCGACACTCCATCGGCACACAGAAAAAACCCCATGAAATATAATTTTTTCCTTTATTTCACTGTAATCTTTTAAATCATAATCTGTGTTAAATGTAATACAAGAGACCTAAAACAAATAAAAAGATAAGAAATTAAAAATGTAAATCAGATAGAGGTGAAGGTACTATGGTAGGTACGCAGAGAAGGGACAAATACCAAATCCATTTGTAAAATTTCACAATGAAGAGGGCATCATTTTCCACTATACAATGTTCGGTACACCACGACAAAATGGTGTATGAGAAAGAATGAATCACATGCTTATTGACATATTGACGAGCATGATTAGTAATTCTAAATATTCTTGAATCTCTTTGGAGTGAAGCCTTGAAAACTGCAGTGCAAATAGAATTCTATTTAAAAGTGTTCTCAAAACATCATTTGAACTATAGTAAGGATGGAAGCCTAGTTCAAATCACTTGCATATATGGGGTTGTCCAGTAGAAGTGAGGATTTACAATCCACACATATAGAAACTTGATTCAAAGATAATAAATGGTTATTTTATCGGCTATCCAGTTAACTCTAAGGGATATTTTATTGTCCTTCACACTCTACAAGAGTAGTTGAGGCTAGAAATGCTAAATTCATTGAGGATTCTAAATTTAGTGGAAGTATATTTCCTCGAAGGATAGAATTTGAGGGAGCGCATGAGGAAATCGAGTTGCATAAAGATAGAAATTGATTATTCTTCAAGGAAATCAAGTAGATGACCTTGACAAGCAAACCAATCCAACAGTAATCAGCGCAAAAATTGAAGTTCATAATGAACCTCCCATTGATCTAAATCAAGAGGTAGGATTAAGAAGGTCCTCAAGAGAAAGGAGATCAACTATTTTTAGTAATTATGTTGTATATCTTCAGGAGTTTGATTTTGACATCATTTCTGAGCATGATCCGTGTATATTTTCACAAGTCATGAATGTAGATCAATGTGCTTTTTGGTACAATGTCATGCGGGAAGAGATGGAATCTATGGCTAGCAATCAAGCCTAGGATCTTGTCGAATTACTAAAAGGCGTTGTAACCATATAAATAGGTCTACAAGACTAAAAGGGACGCTTTTGATAATGTCGAGCAATATAGCAATAAACTTGTAGCCAAAGGTCTCACTCAAAAATAAAGGAATGATTATCATAAAATATTCTCACCAGTTTCTAAGAAGGATTCATTTAGAGTCATCTTGGCTTTAATGGCCCATTTTGATATGGAGTTAATGGATGTGAAAATAACTTTTCTAAATAGGGATCTTGAGGAAGAAGTATACATGAGGCAACCAGAAGAATTTTGTGATGAAAAAGATAATAACTTAGTTTGTAAGCTAAAGAGACCTATATATGGTCTAAACCAAGCCTTATATCATGGTATAGAAAGTTTTACAACATTGTTTCCCCAAATGGATTTTCTGAGAACATCGTTGATCAATGTATATACTTTAAGGTCAGTGGAAGCAAGGTTATGTTTTAGTCTTATATGTGGATGATATTCTATTTGCAAGCAGTAATTTAAGTTTACTGCATGAGACAAAACAATTCCTCTTTGAAAACTTTAAAATGAAGGATTTAGGTGAAGCTTCTTATGTCATTGGCAAATAAATTCATAGAGATAGGCCTAAATTAAGACTACCTCAAAGGGCCTACATTGAAAAATTATTAGAGATATTTTTGAATGAAAGATTATGTGTCAATGTCAGTACCTATCATCAAATGGGATAAACTCAGTTAGGATCAATGTCCACAAAATGAACTGGAAAAGGAATCAATGAGGAGCATACCTTATGCATCAGCCATGGGTAATTTGATGTATTCACAAGTCTACACTAGACCTATCATCAAATTTGCAATAGGATTGTTAGGTCTAAACTAGAGTAATCTTGGTATGGAGCATTAGAGGGCTGCTAAAATGGCCATGTGATATTTGAAGGGAACCAAGAACTGCAGATTGACTTACAGTCATACAGATCATTTGGAGGTGGTCAGTTATTCAGATTTAGACTTTATTAGATGTGTAGATTCAAGATACTCTACTTTAGGATATGTCTTTCTTTTCGCCGAAGGTGCTATATCTAGGAGGAGTACTAAACAAATAATTATTGCTTCATCTACAATGGAGGCAGAGTTTATTGTGTGCTATGAAGCCACTACACAAGCATTACGGTTGAGGAACTTTATCTCAAACCTCAAAATCATCAATTCTATTGCGAGGCCAGTGACGATCTATTGTGAAATTCAGTGGCTGTTTTCTTCTCCAAAACTAATAAAAATGTAAGCCAAGACAAGTATATTGACATAAAGCATCTTAGTGTTAGAGAGAGCATGAAGTAAAGTGTTGTGTCCATTTAACACATAATGCCGACCTAATGGTTGATGATCCCAAGACTAAAGGATTGCTGACAAAACAGTTTGTAAGTCATGTGGAGCATGCGAGATTGATTTAGCTCTTCATGTGTTGTTTTCTCTCTAGTTATTTTTAGACATGTTATGGATATTCTTGGAGAATAAAGTTTAATTTTATTGTGCATAAATAAAGTTTTCATATTTGAATTATATTGGTTGGGATAGTTAAATTAGGACCCGAGTGACTTGTAGAAAGTCATTCATAAAGTTTGCTCATAGAGTTGACCACATAGGCTGCGTTTGGGAACTTGTATTTGGGCCATGGATTTAAAATCCATGGTATTTCAAATCCAAATATCTAATTTGGACTCTAAGGTGGGCTGAGATTTCAAAGCAAATTATTCTAGAGAGGAGAATTTGAAAGCCCAAATACACATATTACACATATTTCAAGGCTATGGCTATGGATGTTGATGCAGTGGTGGCTAAGAATTTTGTCAATGTTAATGCTAGGTCTGACCCAAGATCTCTTGCTTATTCCATCGGTACAGTTTCCCCCTTTTGGCATATCCCTAATTTATGGGGCCATCTTAATGATTTGCTGCATCAGTATTACATTGGTGTCATACATTGCGATATGGTGTCCAATTGTTGCATCAGTATCACATTTGGTTTTACCATGAAAAAAATGCTATTATAATGAATATTTTGAACATTATTACTATTGTTTGTATTCTCTCGTATCGATTCATGAAGGATGAGATGTTTGCATGAGTATTTATAATTTCAAAGGTTAAGTGACAATTTCTAAACTTTTCAAGGTTTATCTTAAATGGGCCAAACTTCTCAGGGGGCTTTGTGAAATTTATCCTAACTTTTACCTCAACATAAATGTTAATGTCCACATAAATATTGAAGAGTTAAGAGAAAGCATAAATTTTCTTAAAACAGCAATTTTGAAATCCCAGATCATGTATAATAAAGTGCATGCATACGCTATAT